GATGTAGACTGGGGAGCCTCGACCCCCAGACCTCCAACTAGCAAACCACATATGAACCCTACCCCTGCAGACGAGGGAAAGACTCGGGCAGGCAAAGTCGGCCAGGCCGAACTCGGCCAGACTGAACTCGGCAACGCTGAACTCGGCCCAAGCCGAATTCAGCCTGGCCGAGATCTGCCTGGCCGAGATGAGCCTGGCCGAGATCAGGCGGCCGAGTTCAGCCTCACCGCGTCAAGCCTGGCCGAGATTTTCTTGACCGAATTGAGTTGCTGTCCGCAAGCTACATTTCCGAAACGCCGACTGGGCTTCCGAACTCAAAGAACGCCTGTAGTTTTGTCAAACCCAGAGGGAATGTCCGATGCCCCAGCGTCGAGTGGACCCGCATGGGTTTGGTACGCAATTTTTCGCAGACCAACGTGATGAAATATTACATACGGATGTTCGTCTCCGTTTTCGGCCTTTGGGGGGGACCGCCAGGCACTGGGACCGTCAATGAAGAGCTCTAGATGAAAAGCTGGACTCCGGGAAAGCGGTCTGGACTTCCTCGGGCCCCATGTTGAAAACTCCAGACATCGAACCCTGCATGCTGCCTTCACAACAGGAAAGAAGATGATCGGGATGAGCAGGAAAATGAGGGCGGAGAGGGGATGATGCAGGGCGGGGGCAGGGACAGGGGATGGAGAAAGCCCTGAGCGAGGGACCCAGGGAGACGGAGCCTGGGAAAAACTTCTTCAGCTTGCGGAACTGGTCGATGACAGCTGCAGGGTTCTCGAAGACATGCTGATCCTGGGTAAAGCCCCCCCACTTGGGGCGAAGGCGGGGTAGCAAGCCAGAAGTGTTGCCATCAGGAGCGACTCTGTGCTCTGCAAGGACAGCGTCCTGCAAGCCGCCGCCTACTCTCCTCCCTCCCCTGCCTCCACCCGCTTCCTGTTCCACTGCCCCTCGACCCCACCATCTGCTGGAGGCCTCCCAGATGGGGTCCGAGGTATGGGGCCGGAGAATTGCACCGCATCGCCGATGTATCGCCGATGCATCGGCGATGCATCGGCGATGTCGGCGATGCATTGGCGACGTCGTTGTGGAGAAAATCGGGATCCACATCGAGCCGAATCGTCGACGTATCGGCAATGCGGCGCGATCCTCCTACCTCAACTACTTCGACCCCATATGGAAAGCCTAGATCTGAGCCCTCCCTCCTCAGTGCCCCTTTTGCCTTCTCCGATCGTATTCTGCTCTCCTCCCCCTCAGCAGCCAATCCCCCTCGGCCTACCCCCGTCGCCGGCGACCTCTCTCCTCCGGCACCCTCCCTCCCCCGATCCTGTTCCGCCCCGTCCCCGGACTGCCCGCATCAGCAGCACGAGTGCGGTGGGAGGAGAGGCTAGCTAGAGGGGGTGCAGGTTCGCGGCATTGCCTGCACTGCTTTGTCTGCCCCAGCTTTCCCCAAACAGTTTTTGCATAAAGTTTTGGAGTCCCGAAACGGTGCGGTGACAGACCGTGCGGTGACCTCGAAATCCCCCAAGACCTCACCGCACGGTCCGTCACCGCACGGTCTTGGGACCCCGGAGGCCCTGTCGCTCGAGACATCCTCGGAGAACGACCCGAGTCCCAAAACCGTGCGGTGACCCCGAATCCCCACCGACTCACCGCACGGTGTGGTCACCCGCTTGGGGGCCGCTGAAAAGTAACCCATTCGCCCAGGAAGCCGCCTGCGCTTCCGGGGCTGCTGCTCGGGGGCTGCCTGTGCCGAGTATTACCAGTTTAAAATATATTCCTATCCCTGTGTTTGGCATCACCTCACCTCGATGCCGATCTTCAGGATTCCCTAGGTTTCTGCGGGCACATGCCTAAGATTGTCCTCGCTTTTTGCTCGCCCATCTTAGGGTTAAGTCGGGCCTGTCCCCCTCTACAGGGGGATTTTCGACGAAAAATAAAAAATACCCCAAACATAACAAAACAAATTATCCAAAAATAGTCTGGGGACTATTTTTCTGAATTTTGTTTGATCTTTTGGGGGTATTTTTGGGGTATTTTTATTTTTCGTCGAAAACCCCCTCCCCTGTAGGGGGACAGGCCCGACTTAATCTTAGGGATAGGGATGAGTTCGAGGCTGGTTAGACCAGTCCGCCTGCGCTTCCGGAGCTGCGCCCGTTGGCCGCGCGTGGGTCTCCCGTGGCCACCCGCTCGAGCTTCCTGGGCTGTCGTCTGGTGGCCGCCCGTGGCCGCCTCGTCGCCGTCCCGTGCGCCTGCTGGCGCCTGCAGGTTCTCGCTCCTCGTCCTCCTCCTCCTCCTCCTCCTCCTCCTCCTCCTCCTCCTCCCGTTTCTTCTCGCCGTTCCTCTGGGCGCCGCCCCCGGGGTCGCTCGATGCCGCCCCGTGCGCTGGCTGGCGATTCAGATGTTCGCCCGGTTGCCGCACGTGGTCGCCTTGTGCGCTGGCTCGCGTTCTGGGTTGCACGCGTAGCTCGCATCACACAGCCTGCACCCCGTAGCTCTGGACCACGAAGGCTGCGCCCACAGCCCGAATCGCATAGCTTGCACCGGACTCCTGGCACCACATAGCTTGCTCCACAGGAGGTTGCGCGACCTCGATTGCACAGGCGGCGCCGCAGGCGGCCTGGATAGAATCCGTACGCGGAGGCGCTGTCGACGCCGTTCGCGGCGGGCCGCGGGGGGCCGGCGGCGGCCTCGTCGGGGTGCAGGGAAGGGGGGCACAGGCGGGCCTGTGCGACGCGAGGGCTTGCCGTGAGAGATCCTGGGGCGCACCCGTCGTCCATCCTTTTTCGGGTCGGGCGAAAGGGGGGGATAGCAAAGGGGGGGTTTGAGAATCAGCTCACGTAGCTGATTTTCCCGGCGCCTCCCGGCGCCGGAGGCGGCTATGTATCGAGGAACGGGCCCCTCGGTGAGGCCGAAACCAGCTGCATGCAGCAAATTTCGTAACCCCCCCTTTCCCAATCCCCCCCTTTCGCCCGGCCCGACTTTTCCGCCCTCCCGGGCGGGAGTGCCCCAAAACTCCTCTGGGGGCCCCCCGCAGGGCCTTCGCGCAACGAGAGAGGTCCGCGGGGCTTCTGCTGGCAGGCCGGCTCCACAGCCGTACGCGCCCGCTGCGGATGGCCCCCAAGAGGCCTGCACCTCTCGTTCTCTCTCTCTCTCTCTCTCTCTCTCTCTCCCCTCCTCCTCCTCCTCCTCCCCCTCCTCCCCCATTCCATCCTCCTCCTTCTCCTCCCATTCCATCCTCCTCCTCCTCCTGCCCCTCCCCGTCCTCCCCCTCCTCCTCCCCCTCCTCCCCCTCCTCCTCCAGGAGGCGGCATCGAACGGGATGCCTGTTCGGGCGATCGCCGCAGCCCCTCTCCGGGGCGGAGGGGCCGCGGCGAGGCCGTGCCCTCCCTCAGGAGTGGCCGGGGCGGGCGGCAGGCACACTCGCAGAGCGGGGGTCTGGCCCGGGAGCCCGCCGTGGGGTTGGCAGCCCGGCCCATCGCGGGGGGGGACGAAAGGGGGGGATAGCATTGTGGATGCCATGACAGTGGACACTCTAAGAAACCGATCCTTGAATCAAACATGTGTCTAAAATGTGCGAAACATGTTCTGAACATGTCTCAGACATGTTTTTCCCTACCTAGGCTCTGCCTAGAAGGGTTCCTACTCTGTTTGCTTAAAGAGCCAGGCAGTGGGGCACGCCCCGGGCGGTTCCCCCAGCATCCGCCCCGCGGTTCCCCAATTACGTTCCCTTAGCTTCGCGTTGCTTATCTCATCTTAGCTTAGCTTATTTCATCTTATCTTAGCTTAGCTTCATCTTACATCAGTTTTATTTCACTTTAGCTGGCCTTCATCTTAGCTTCGCTGAGCTTTAGCATAGCATAGCAGAGCACAGCATAGCATAGCGCAGCACCGCATATCATAGCATGGGTGTAATTCCCGACCTAGGCTCTGCTTAGAGGGTTAGCTTAGCTTAGCTTAGCTTAGCTTAGTTTAGCTTAGCATAGCGCATAACATAGCTAAGCTTAAAGGGCCGTGCAGTGGGGCTCGCCCCGGGCGGTTCCCCCGGCATCCGCCCCGCGGTTCCCCCAGTGACGTTCCCTTAGCTTCGCGTTGCTTATCTCATCTTAGCTTAGCTTATTTCATCTTACCTTAGCCTCATCTTAGCTTAGCTTAGCTTCATAAGTATGTTGCTTTCCTAAATCCTCCAACTCCTAGGTAGGATCGCACTGGGGTAATTACCTATTGGGAACATGTTTGAAACATGTCTTAGACATCTGGGAATTATTTGGCAGCATGTTTCCTCTTCATTAATCGACTTCCACAAGGATAGCATAGGGCCGGATGGAGAATCATCGGCTGCACAGGAGAGCGACCCTGGGCAAGAGTGACCTCAGGTGCGCGGCGTTTGGGGGGCCGCGGGGCGACCAAACACGGGCGCGCAAGACGCTACTGCCGCCTCGCGTTCGGCGATCGGGGGGACCCCATCGGGCCCGCACCAGAGGTCACTCCGGCGAAGGGTCACTCTTACGTGTAGTCTAGTCGAAGTCAGCTCACGTAGCTGATTTTCCCAGCGCCTCCCGGCGCCGGGAGGCGCCCATGTATCGAGGAATGGGCCCGTCGGCGGGGCCGAAACCGGCTGCATGCAGCAGATTTCGTAGCCCCCCTTCCCTATCCACCCCCTGGCCACTGCGACGCTGGCGACCAGAACCACCACCACTCAAAAGATTGGCGCGCACATCCGTATCTGCGCCCCCGCGGTCTGGATTCCGGAGCGCGATCCCCACGTCGCACGGATCCGTCCCGCGCGGGGCATCCGCAGAAAGACGCCCCGTATCCGCGGGGTCGCGGCCCAAGGGCACGCCCGCAAGGCCGCGGATACGGATAGGTGCGGCTCCTTCCCCAGAGCCAGCGATGTCAAGTTCTCGGCCTGCATCCGTTTTTGGATTACCCCTGGGCCCAGCAACGGACCCCATGTTTCGAAATCGAGGAACACCACACCCGGACTGAACAACATCAGATCATCGGAG